AAGATAAAAGGACTGAACAGAAGATTACAAAGAGCAGCTTGAAAACACAACATTAATTATTATAATGAATTGTACAAAGACTTTGAGTTAGAAAACCAGAAAGGAAGAACATTCTCGGCATTTCTCAAGCTGAAAGAACTGAGGAAAAAATTCAAGCCTCGAGTTGCAATATTGAAAGATTGTATGGGCAAAATATTGAATGATGCAGGAAACATCAAAAGAAGATGGAAGGAATACACATGGTCACTGTACCAAAAAGAATTGGTCGATGTTCATTCATTTCAGGAGGTGGCATATGATCAAGAACTAATGGTATTAAAGGAAGAAGTCAAAACTGCACTGAAGGAATTGGCAAAGAACAAGCCTCCAGGAATTGACAGAATACCCATTGAGATGTTTCAACAAACGGATGCTGCACTGGAGGCACTCATTTGTCTATGCCAAGAAATTTGGAAGGCAGCTACCTGGCCAACTGACTGGAAGAGATCTATATTTGTACCCATTCCAAAGGTGATCACACAGAATATGGAAATTACCGAATAATATCATTAATATTACACTCAAGTAAAATCTTGTTGAAGGTAATTAAAAAATGGTTGCAGTAGCATAATTGACAGAGAACTTCCAGAAATGCAAGCTGGATTCAGAAGAGGATGTGAAATGAGGGATATAATTGCTGATGTCAGATGGATCTTGGCTGAAAGCAAAATATACCAGAAAGATGTTTACTTGTGTTTTATTGAGTATGCAAAAGCATTTGATTGTGTGGATCCTAGCAAATTATGGATAACATTGAGAAGAATGGTAATTCCAGAACACTTAATTGTACTTGTGAGGAACCTGTAACAGACCAGGAGACTATCATTTGAACATAACAAAGGGATACTGCATGGCTTAAAATCAGGAAGGGAATGTGTCAGGTTTGTATCCTTTCACCATACTTATTCAAACTGTATGCTGAGCAAACAATCTGAGAAGCTGGAGTATATAAAGAAGAATGTGGCACCAGAATTGGAGGAAGACTTATTAACAACCTGTGATTCACAGATGACCTACTTTTGCTCAAAGTGAGGGTGACTTGAAGCATTTATTGATGAAGATTAAAAACTTCAGTCTGCAGTATGGATTACATCTGAACATAAAGAAAACAAAAATCCTCACAACTGGACCTGTGAGCAACATCATGATAAATGGAGAAAAGATTGATATTGTTAAAGATTTTTTATTACTTTGTTCCATAATCAACACCAGTGGAAACAGTCAAGACATCAGGCAACTTATTGCCGTGGGGAAATTGTGCTGAAGAGCAAAGATTTAAACTTAAACTTTAAGGTGCACCTAACCCAAGCCATGGTATTTTCGATTGCCTTATATGCATGTGAGAGCTGGACAATGAACAAGGAAGATCTAAGAAGAGTTGATTCTTTTGAGTTGTGGTGTTGGCGAAGAATACTGATAGTCCCAAAAGAATGAACAAATCTGCCCTGGAAGAAGTGCAGCTAGAATGCTCCTTGGAAGCAAGAATGGCCAGACTTTGTCTCACCTATTTTGGTTATGCTGTCAGAAGGGACCATTCCCTGGAGGAAGATATTATGCTTGGTAAAGTGGAGGGTCAGCAAATAAGGGCAAGACCTTCAGGGAGATGACACATTGGCTCCAACAATGGGCTCAGGTATAGCAAGGATTGTGAGGTTGGCACAGGACTGGGCACTATTTCATGCTGTTGTGCATGGGGTTGCTTTGAGCTGGAGCTGACTCTATGGTACGTAACAACAACAGCAACAACAACAACAACAATGAAATGCTCAAAAACTTGGAGTTAGAAAACCTAAAGGGAAGAATAAGACCACCATTTCTCAAGCTGAAAGAACTGAAGAAAAAATTCAAGCCTTGAGTTGCAATATTAAAGGATTCTATGGGCAAAATATTGAACAATGAAAGAAGAAATAAAGGAAGATGGAAAGAATACACAGAATCACTGTACCCGAAAGAATTGGTTGATACTCAGCCATTTCAGGAGGTAGCATGTGATGAAGAACTGATGATATTGAAGGAAGAAATCTAAGCTCCATTGAAGGAACTGGTGAAAAACGAGGCTTCAGGAATTGACAGAATACCAAGTGAAATGTTTTAACAAATATGTTGTGCTGCCGGGGCTCACTCATTTAATGCCAAGAAATTTGGAAGACAATTACCTGGACAACCAACTGGAAGAGATCCATATTTGTGCCAATTTCAATGAAAGGTGATTCAACAGAATGTGGGAATTATTGATCAATATTGTTGATATCCTATGCAAGCAAAATTTTGCTGGCAAATTCAAAAGCAGTAGCAGTGGTACATACACAGACAGGGAACTTCCGGAAACTGGAATTTAGAAAAGAACATAGGCTGAAGGATATCATTGCTGATGTCAGATGGATCCTGGCTGAAAGCAGAGAATACCAGGAGAATGTTTACCTGTGTTTTATTGACTATGCAAAGGCATTCAATTCTCTGGATCATCACAAATTATGGATAACATTGGGAAGAATGAGAATTCCAGAGCACTTAATTGTGTTCATGAGGAACCTGAATATAGACCAAGAGGCAGTCATTTAAACAGAACGAGGGGATACTGCCTGGTTTAAAATCAGGTAAGGTATACGTCAGGGTTGTTCTGTCTTTTTCTGTATGTTGAGCAAGTAATCTGAGAAGCTGGACTATATGAATAACAACACTGCATTAAAATTGGAGGAATGCTTATAACCTGTGCTATAGGGATTATTCAACCTTGCTTGCTGAAAGTGAAGAAGATTTGGAGCACTTACTGATAAAAATCAAAGAGTACAATCTTTGGCAGGAATTACAGTTTAACATAAAGCAAAAATCCTCACAAGTGGACCAGTAAACAATAACATGATAAATGGAGAAAAGATTGAAGTTGTAAAAGATTTCATGTGATATGAATCCACAATCAATGTCCTGGAAGCAGGAATCAGGAAATTAAATGAGGTATTTGCATTGGGTAAATCTGCTGAAAACACCAGCTTGCAGTGTTAAAGATTAAAGATGTCACTCTGGAGACCAAGGTGTGCCTGACCTAAGCCATGGTATTTTCAGTTGCCTCATGTGCATGTGAAAGCTGGACAAAGAATAAGGATGACAGAAGAATAAACCCATTTGCATTTATGATGTTGGTGAAGAATATTGAATGTACTGTGGACTGCCAGAAGATGAACAAAGTATGTCTTGGAAGAAGTACAGCCAAATGTTCTTTAGAGGTGAGCATGATGAGATCTGTCCTGGAGGAAGTGCACCTGAAATGCTCCTTGGAAGCGAGAATGGCCACCTTTTTTTTTTTTTTTTTGGTCATGTTGTCAGAAGGGACATCCTGGAGAAGGATGTCATGTTTGGTAGGGTGGAGGGTCAACGAAAGAGGAGGAGGCCTTCAATGAGATGGATTTACACGGTGGCTGCAATGATGGGCTCAAGTATAGCAGGGATCATGGAGCTGGTGCGGGATCGGGCAGTATTTCGTTCTGCTGTGCCTGGGGTTGCTATGAGTTGGAAACGACTCGACGGTACCTAACAACCACAACATGGTGACACTTCGTCTCACATACTTTGGACATGTTATCAGGAGGGACTGGTTTCTAGAGAAGGACGTCATACTTGGCAAAGGAGAGGGTCAGTGAAAAAGAGGAGGACTCTCAGTGAGATGGATTGACACGGCTGCATCAGTGTGCTCAAGCATAGCAGCGATTGTGAGAATGGTGAAGGACTGGGCAATGTTTTGTTCTTTTGTACACAAGGTGTCTGTGAGTTGGAATCGACTTGATGGCCCTAACAGCCACAGTTACATGTTTGAGATGTTTTAGAACAGAATGTCTAAATAACTGTGACTTAAATAATAAGAACATTTTTTATCTCTTTAAGAGTTTTGGAGAGAGGTGGTTTTAGGGTTGGCTAATTCAGCCATGCAGCTATGTCAGTGTTCTGGGTCATTTTCTCTCAGATTCATTTTTTCATCATGGTTGTAAGACCGTTGCCACATATCTGAGTATCATATCCTTTTGCAGAAAAACTGAGATAAAGGAAGGAAGAGCAGGACCTTTCTCCATGTGTCATGTTCTCTCTCTTGTAAAATCTTTTCCTCTAATCCCCAGTAGACTTCCCCTTATGTCCCTTTATCCAGTTATGTATGTATGTATATATGTGTATATATAGATAGAGGAGCTCTGGTGGCATAGTGATATATATGTCTGTACACACACACACACACACACACATTTACACAATATATAAACACACACAACATAAACAAAACCAAATGCTGTTGAGTTGATTCTAACTTCCTAACTAATGGTGAGCCCATGTGTGACATGCTAGAATCACACTCTATAGCGTTTTCAGTGGCTGATGCTTTGATTTTTAGGCCTTTTTTCCTGAGGTGCTTATCGGTTGACTAGAACTGCCAACCTTTCAGTTAGCAGCCATACCACACACTCAATTGTTTGTACCACTAAATCAGTTGCTGATGAGGAGAAATGAAACTCGCATGATTGGCTTAGAACAATTTTGGTTCTTCCCCTGGTCCTGGAAGAAAGGACTCACCCATCTTGTCTCCTTGATTTCTCATATCAGATAAGAGATTAGTGCTTTGTCATTTATAGAAGGAGGGGTGGCTGATGGGTAGGCAGTCACTAGTATGTGCTGAATTATAGTAATATAGAGTTGTTGGTGACATTTTCTCCATCCTTCATAGTTATGTCTTGTAAAAAGTGAAATATTAGTATTTCAAGCTGTAAAATAGTTACCATTTGAGACGCATACTACCCTCTAAATGTTACTTTATGTTTTGGCTTTTAATCTTAGTTACTACTCACTGTACTTATTTTTGTGTTGGTTATAGTCATTTATTTTTCTTGAAGATCTGTTGAGCTGAGAGATATGTGATATTAAATGATTTGGGCAGTAATTTCTGATTCTTTGTAATTAATTAATTCTTGTTCTCTTAGGTGGATTCTCAACAGTTTTCCTAGTGCGGGCTCATGGTGGTATACGATGTGCATTGAAACGAATATATGTCAATAATGTGCCAGACCTCAACATTTGTAAAAGAGAAATTACAATTATGGTAAGCAAAAGACTAATTCTGTTTTAGAAATTTGGTACACTTTCTTCTGTTTTACACTATAATGTAAACATATTTTAGGCAAGCTGTTTATTGCTCATGTACATCTGGTAAAACTTTGAAGATCACTAAATTAATTTGGAAAATTATCTGGAAATATATAGTACATTCCTTATAACCACAGGGCTACATATAGCCTCTTTCTCTCCTTCCTTCCTTCCTGGCTGTACAGTTCAACAGGAATGTTACTCTGCTTTCTTCTTCCTTTTCTAAAATCCATTTTAATTATGAGGAATATGTTGAGTATACAAAAATTTAGAGAATTGCATAATGAACATCATTGCCATTAAGGTTAAGATGTGAAACCGTACAGAGACAGTTGAGGCTCCTGTGTGCATTAATTTCCATCTATCACTCTGTGCTGTCCTCCTCATCCAAAAGGAAACCACTGACCTAAATTTGGTGTTTACTCCCATTCCCATACATGTTTCATGCATTCACTTCATGTATTAGTATTCACAAACAATAATTACTTTTGGCTTTTCCTTTTTAAAATCATGCTGTAAGTCTGATTGCTTTTCCTGTGTACTCTAATTTTCAGCAAGGAATTTTTCTTTTGTAAACATTAGGAAAAGTAAAAAATATTTTAATAGACATTAAAGAAAATTTTAGTGACTCATTTAACTAGAAGCAGTTAAAAACTTACAAAATTATATTTTCTTCGTTTTTTTGTATTGCTTATTTGTAGTTCTCCTTTTTCTTCCTTTTGTTTGTTTTAAACTGGTAAAATGGTTATCAAGTGCTAGTACTTTAAACTACCACTCATCTGTCCATTTTTTTGTACTGTGGTGGCTTGCATGTTCCTGTGAGACTAGAGGCTATGCCACTGATACTTCAAATAGCAGTAGGGTTAGCCATGTTGGACAGGTTTCAACAGAACTTCCAAACTAAGACAGAGTCAGAAGAAGGAAAGGGCCATCGCTGCTAAAAGAATTGGCTAGTGAAAACCTTATGAACAGTAGTAAAGCACTGTCTGATATACTACTGGAAAACTTTATGAATAGCCCTGAAACATTGTCTGATACAGTGCCAGCAGATGAGCCCCTCAAGTCTGAAGGTGCTCATAATATGACTAGGAAGAGCTGCATCCTCAAAGGACAGTCAACCTTAATTATATTGATGGAGTAAAGCTTTTGGGGCCTCCATTTGCAGATGGGGCATGACTGAAAACAGAAAAAAAACAGCTGCAGACATCCTTTAATTGTCAGAACATGGAATGTATGAAGTATGTGTCTAGGAAAATTGGAAGTAGTTGAGAAATGAAATGGAATGCATAAAGATTGCTATCCTAGGCATTAGTGAGCTGAAATGGGCTGGTTTTGGCCATTTGGAATCAGATAATCATGATCTGCTATGCTGGGAATGACAGTATGAAGAGGAATGACGAGGCATTCATCGTTACAAAGAATGTTTCAAGATGTATCCTGAAGTACAGTGCTGTCAATGACAGGATAATATCCATATGCTTCCAAGGAAGACCAGTGAATACTGCTGTTACTCAAATTTCCACACCAACCACCAAAGCCAAAGATTAGGAAATTGAAGATTTTTAACAACCAGTCTGAAATTGATCAAACATGCAATCAAGATAGATTGATTATTACTGTTGTTGTTGTTGTTACTTGCCGTCGAGCCGGCCCCGACTCATAGCGACCCCTCCTTGGGTTTCCGAGGCAGTATCACTACGGAAGTAGGATTGCCCAACCTTCCTTCCGAGGAGTGGCTGGTGGTTTTGAACCTCCAGCCTTCTGGTTAGCAGTCAAGTACCTTAGGCACTATGCTACCAGAGCTCCCTAAGATAAATAGTTAGTACTTAGTAAATAGTAACTGAATATATAATTTGTTTATATTGTAGTGTACACACACACACACACACACATACACACATCCTAATCGTGGGCTCATGGTGATCCATGTGTTTCCGAGTAGAATGTTGCTGTGTAGAGTTTTTAGTACCAAACCAAACCAAACCAAACTCATTGCTGTCAAGTCGGATCTGACTCATGGCACCCCTCCTTGGGTTTCTGAGGTGGTATTACTGTGGGAGTAGATTGCTCAAGCTTCCTTCTGAGGAGTGGCTGATAGGTTTGAATTGCCAGCCTCCTGGTAAGCAGTCAGTTGCCTTAGGCACTACACCACCAGAGCTCCTTTAGAGCTTTCAGTATCAGTTTTTTTTTTTCATTTGGGTGGTAAATCTCCAAGCTTTTCTTCTGAGTCATCTCTGGTCTGGATGACTCAAACCTCCAACTTTATTGGTTAACATATTTAATTAACAGTTTGCAATACCTAGGGACTCTGTAGTAAGTTTATATATAATCAATAATAATAAAAACTTTGAAAAATATTGCTACCTTTTCATGGTATGTCTAATTAAGACTATCTTTTATAAACAATGGTTTATAATGTCATTGAGATTAGGTAAAGATAGATTGCCATTTAATTGGCTTTGTAATTAAATCTGTGCAAGTCTCTGTGTGACACAATACCTTTTTGTAACAATGTGATTCTCTCTGAAATTGAGGACCATTTAGTAGTCTGATTAGATGTTTTCTAGTTTGGATGGAATTGGAAAGAAACTTGTTAGGTTAATTTATTGTGTTACAGCTGTATTCTGTTTTGCTTGGGTTATCAGGAAGGAAGGAGAAGGAGTAATTTGAATGTCAATATAGAGTATGACTCTGAAATTAAATATAAAATAGGGAAATTATACATTGAAGGGAGGAGTCAGCCACAGGGATCCAGGTAAGGGGAGGGAACCCAGGCCACGCCCCATAAGTGGCAAGGCAGGAAAGTGGGGGAAGGGACAGAAAAAGGCAAGGGGGACAGGAACAGAATGAGGAGTCAGCCGCAGGGATCCAGGTGAGGGGAGGGAACCCAGGCCACCCCCTACAAGAAGAATACAGTCTGTAGTATGGATTACATTTCAATATAAAGAAAACATAAATCCTCACAACTGGACCAATAAGCAGCATCACTATAAATGGAGAAAAGATTGAGGTTGTCAAAGAATTCATATTGCTTATTTCTGTGATCATCGCCAATGGAAGCAGCAGTCCGGACATTAGATGACGTATAGCACTGGGCAAGTGGCTACAAAGGAACTCTTTCAAGTGCTGAGGAACAAGGATGCCTCCTCGAGGATTAAGGTGTGCCTGATACAAGCCATGATATTTTCAGTCACCTCATATGCATGTGAGAGCTGGACAATGAAAATGAAGACCGAAGGAGAGTTGATGCTTTTGAGTTGTGATGCTGGCGAAGAATACTGAAAGTACCATGGACTGCTAAAAGAACTAACAGATCTGTCCTTGAGGGAGTACAGCTGAAATGTTCCTTGGAAGAGAGAATGGCCAGACTTCATCTCATCTACTTTGGTCATGTTGTCAGAAGGGACCATTCCCTGGAGAAGGATGTCATGCTTGGTAAGGTGGAAGGTGGACGAAAGAGGGGAAGGCCTTCAATGAGATGGATTGATATGGTGGCTTTGATGATGGGCTCAAGTATAGCAAGGATCATGGAGCTGACGTGGGATCGGGTGGTGTTTCGTTCTGCTGTGATAGGGTGGCTATGAGTCGGAAACGACTCAATGGCCTCTTACGACAACAACAACAACAACAATATACATTGAAGGAATCTATATGCTATAGTTTTCAGTTTAAAAATTTTTTATTTTTGAGTGTGTTTGTAAAAAAAAAAAAAAAAAGTCTAGAATAATGGTACCAAACCAAACCATAGTCACTGCTGTCTATTGGATCCGACTCATAGAGATCCTTCCTTGGGTTTCTGAGGTGGTGTCACCATGGAAATAGATCACCCAACCTTCCTTCCAAGGAGTGGCTGGTGTGTTTGAACCACCAGCCTTCTGGTTATCAGTCAAATGCCTTAGACACTTTGCCACTAGACCTCCTAGAATAATGGTAGACTATCTGAAAATTAGCATTTATTATTAATTTGCATGGTAGAGTAGCATTGAAGTTAAATGAATTGATAAATGATAAATCAATTTATATGATACCAGGTTCATGGTAGGGACTCACCAGTAGTGTTAATTCACTCATCATTTCAAGTTCATGCCAGCCCTAACTTTTTTATTTTGTATCAACATTTTTACCAACACACACATTGGGATTGCTTTTGTTCGAGGTAGACTTATGTATATAATCTGATTTTTCCTAATTCTCCTTTTATGTTTTCTATTAACTAGGCTACAGTTGATTTGACTTTGAGACTTCCTTTTTTTTTTTAAAGTTAAGGTGTCACCAAAATGGTAAAGGATTTACTCCCAGATAACGGCAGAGCTTATATTAAATTCCCTTACTTGTGCCCAAATCTTATACTATTGTGACATGATGCTGCCTTTCATAGAATTTATATGTATAATTTTGATAGTTATAAAATATAGTTAGCAGCAGCAGTGACATTCAAAACGTATGTAGCAATCTTCCAACTCTTACTCACCTCTGCTCATTATGTAATTTATTTATAAAGTATTTGTGTTTAGCTGGCATTAGCCAGTATCTCAAATTGTATTACAGTAAACTAGGTTTATTTTTAATTATATGAATGTAAGTTAATTTAACATAATATTTTGATAATTGTTTTTTAATTTCCATACAGAACTGATTAGGTCATTATTTTTAAGCTTACAGCTGATAGCTATTTTATATTAAGCAGTAAGTGTCAAAAGCTGCCATTTTTCTGTTATTTCCTTGCACTTGTTTTATTAGTATGATTTTCAGTGTGTGGTTTATTTGTAGCTCTTGTTCATTTTAAAGGTTATCATATTAATAGTACATAAACCCATGTATCTATTTAAATAGGTATACATAAATTACAGTATGTTGCCAGCAAAACAAATGAGAATGCAACTGTTAATTCATAAATATGTCAACTTTAAGCCATTGCTTAAACTTTAAAATGTGTTTTTCCAGTTTTCCTCATTTTGTTTCTGTTTTACAGAAAGAACTATCTGGTCACAAAAATATCGTGGGTTATTTGGACTGTGCTGTTAATTCAGTTAGTGATAATGTATGGGAAGTGCTTATCTTAATGGAATATTGTCGAGGTAAGTATCTGTCTGCATTTGTATCATTAAAAAAAAAAAAAGTCCACTTAAAATAGGTTGGTTTCTCCTAAGACAGCTGTCACCTGATTTTAGACGCTTATTGTTGCAACCTCAGCTTTGCCTGTCTAATTAATGATGGCTGTTTAAAAAAATTTAAAACCCTCTCATAGTTGCTGCAGTGATTACTTGAGTATTTAATCTTAAGTGGAAAATTAGAAAAATACTACTTGATTTAAAACAGGAAATCTAAACAGATAAAGAACAGTTACCCTTCATGCTCCCTAGCCAATTTTTTGTAATCCAACTAAGAAAAACATAATGTGTAAATGTTAGTGTTATGTTATCTTTAAATCATATTAAATTTAATAGTTTTAGGGGATGCATTTTGATATATAATGTTCATAAACCTATAGTAAGTAGTTTTTTGTGGTTCCATAGTGAATATCAGAAGATAGAAATCTACATTTTATTTGGACCTAATGCCACTCCTCGGAAGGAAGGTTGGGCAATCCTACGTCCGTAGTGATACTGCCTCAGAAACCCAAGGAGGGGTCGCTATGAGTCGGGGTCGACTTGATGGCACATAACAACAACAACAACAATATATTTTAGAAGAAATATTTCCTTGTATACTGTGCCTTAAGAATAATAATGATAATAATAAATACCTAACTTTTTTTTTTCTTTAATGTGTGTGAGGGGCAATTAATCCAGTTCCTACAAAATTACTTTCTCAAACTGTGTCTGGCAGTTTGGGTGTAGGGATCCCTGGCTTGTATGTAGACTCTTAAGACTGCTGTGATTGTTATTTCCATACCAACAACCCTAACAGTTTTCTGAAGGTTGGAGGCAGGAGCATGATGTGATGGTGAAGAAAATATGTCTCATTTCTTCCAGTCTTGTAAGGAGTGAAGAACAGAGAAAAATGAAGTTAGTCAATTCTTATGCATATGTATTATAAAATACTTGCAGCTTATTTCCATATATAATATAAAAACAGATGTTCATGATTGCCTTATTTATAAAAGATCTCATCTTCTGGACTGTAAAACATTGTTACCTCTTTTGAGAGAAGATAATGATTTTCTCTACCCCACTTTTGTGAATTCTGTTAGTTATGCTAGAGTTTTATAATTATTTATTCTTTTCTTATCTGTATTAGAGGGAGCTCTGGTAGTATAGTGCCTAAGGCACTTGACTGCTAACCAGAAGGCTGGCGGTTCAAACCCATTAGCCACTCCTTGGAAGGAAGGTTGGGCAATCTACTTCCGTAGTGATACTGCCTCAGAAACCCAAGGAGGGGTCGCTATGAATTGGGTCTGACTTGACGGCACATAACAACACCACCATCTGTATTGGAATTGACCAGTAGTTCTTGGTTACTATAATTTTTTTGTAGATAATTGAATTGTACTTAATTATACCCCAGATGGGTTTGTCACCTAGAAAACATTATAATAAGGGAGCTGAATTGGCTTCAATTTTCAGAGGCAAATTTTAACTTAAAGTAGAAGAATTACTTAAGCTGTAATTAAGGAAGGCATTAGTTTGTTTTCATTATTTTTGTTTTGTAATTGAATAAGCAAGCTTTCTTTTATATGAAATTTGAATTTTTGTTAAAGTAATTTATAGCAAAAATTGTGAAGGTGGTGTGCGACCAAGCAACATTTCATTCTGTCATACATACAGAACTGACTCAAAGGCACCTAACAACAACTCATAAATACAGTTTAAAAAGTTACATAATACTATTAAGCTGTGGCTAAATTAGTACTGGCCCTTCCTCTGTCCCACTATTCTTAAATTCTTGAGATGTATCTTCTCATATTTACTAACCTATTTCTAAACATAGCATATACAGATGAGTTCTGTAGTGTTATTGATATTGTGGAGTATAAGAAAGGAGGAATTTAGAAAATCAGGAAGTATGTGATTTTAGATATGAGGAGGCGCTTAAATTTTACTAGTGCTATTTCTGATCTTAATGTTTTACATACTGCTTCTAGAAAAAGATGAGAAATTACTTCTAGTGTAGTATAGTCTTAGTTTTCGGATTAAACCAATAATCAGGGTTAACATAATTTTGTTTGCCATTATAGCTGAATCATACAGAAGTTTATAATTGCTTTTTCTTTCTTATACATCTTTTTTTTTCCTTTGGATTTAATACCACTTTTATGCGCCTAAGTTTCTTCATATATATTACTACTTTAACCCTATATTGCCCAATAAAAGTATATTATATTTTTTCTTTTTATTGTGATTTGGGTGAAAATTTACAGAGCGAATACCCTTTCCATACAGCAGTTCTCATACACTTTGTGTCATGACATTAGCCACAGATTACCACAATGCAACAGCTCTCCTCCCACTTCCTCCCCATAGTTACCCCTTCCCAGTGTCCATCCCTCCATGCACTCCTGCCCCCTGAGCTGTCTCCCTGTGCATAAGCAGCCCTTCTTTCTCCCATGCTTGTTCTCTCCAAGGAGTGTATCTACCTCAGGTAAATGTTCAACTAATATGCCTGTCTATTGTTTGGCTGGAAGCCACAGGCGTGTGTTCAATTCCAGACCTGAAGGGCAGCTAGGGGCCATAGTCTCAGTGGTTCCACCAGGCTCTATCGTGCCAGCAAACCTGGTCCCCCCCCCCTTTTTTTTTTTTCCAAATGATTTTGAGTTTTGTTCCACATTGTTGTCCTATCTCTCCAGGATCTCCTGCATAGATCCTCTTCCAAGTGGTTGACAGTAGTAGCCGGGCACCATCTAGTTCTTCTGATGTCATAGTCTTATATTATAGGCTGCAGATTGGATGGTATACCAGTCGCTAGGACTAATTGTTTCCATGAATTTGTGGTTTTCTTCATTCTTCTTGGCTCTGGACGAGGAGAGACCCATCGTTTCATCTAGATGGCAGCTTGCAAGCTTTTAATATCTCAGTCGCTACTGACCACAGTAGGAGGTGGAACAATGTTTTGTGTAGTATGTTATGCCAATTGAGCTTGATGTCCTCTACGACTGTGGTCCCGAGCCACAGGTTCAACTACTTGGTCCCTCTGGGTAGGTGGCTGTGACCAAGCAGTAACTACAATCTTGCCCCTTGTCAGCTCCATTATACACCTGGGAATTCAGATCCAACACATAAAGTTATAGGACCATTGTCTGCAACCCTATACATG